ATGACAGTTGTCAGCCACCATGCGGTGGTGGGAACTGAACCTGGGTCCTCTGCAAGAGCAGCCAGCTTCTAACCACTGAGCCATTTCTCTAGCCCCTTCTTCAAACACTTGTGTATGTATGTAGGTTTTATTTTGCTTTAAAAAAACACTCAAGTACACAATTTACCATTCCTTCTTGGAGAATGTTCACTGGTAGAGAGATGATGTTTTCAAGAAATGGATGTGAAACTGACACAGCATATCTATCTGTGCACAGGCTGCTTAAGCTTGTACAAATGAAACCACGCCAAGTTCTCTCATGTACCCAAAGGCTAGCTCATCGTGCATGAATTTCCAGATTCACAGGGAGACAGAAAAAGCTGTGTGTTTCTGTTGTAAAGACGCACACCTGACTTGCTACCCGACCCCTTAGTTAGCTCTGTGCCATCAGAACCTCTGGACAAGAAGCATTAGACAGAGGGCAAGCTCTTTTCAAAGTGGTGTCGGTCAAAAAGTACACACAGAAGCTGGGTGTGGTGCGCACGCCTGTAGCCCCAGCACTCGGGAGGCAGAGACAGGCGGATCTCTGTGAGTTCAAGGCCAGTCTGGTCTACATAGTGAGTTCCAGGCCAGCTGGGGCTACAGGGAGACCTTGCTTCAAAAAAGACAAAAACAAAACAACAACAACAAAAGAACATACACACGGATATTCCACACTCCATTACGGTGTTTCTGAATTCTTCAAATTCAGTTGTTAAGTTTATTTGGAGTGGGACTTGTAAGGAAAACGACTTTCATATCACTCCCCCAAGGCGGAGCTGGAGGAGAGCACCCGAAACGGGAGTGGCTCCAGGTCCTACTGGTAGTCAGGTGAGTGCGAGCTACAGCGGGACTGCCAGAGATAAAAAATCATCCAGAATCTCGAAATCTGAGGTGGAGGAGGGGTTTCAATCCTGTCACATGCCAGGACATGAATGCATATGGTTTTTTTTTTGAGAGAAAATTTGTCAACCTTTAGAAGCAACTCTATAATCTACCCGGAAATTTTGTGTCAACAAATTTAGCCTCTGGGATAATGACAGAACACAGAATATGTTACTTATAAGGATGCCTCCACATCACCAGTTATAACAGCAACACCCACAGGAACCTAAGTGTCCAACCACAGGAAATAGCTTCTGTTTTGGTATATTCAACACAATGGAATATTATGACACCTCTATATTGTAACATAATTGTATGTTTACTGGAAATATACAGCGTCAGGAGATAATAAGCATGCAGTCATAGAGAGTGACAATTTTGATAAAAGGTGCACATATGTGTGTGCCTGCATGTATGCATGCCTGTGATATCAATACACAGACATTAATATGTACAAACATAAAATGACAACAAAAAATGTAAAAAGGTATATCAAAAATGGTGTAGTTTGTTCTGAGGATTAAATTATAAGTAATTTTCCCTTTTGTTTATGTATAATTGTGTTTTATTCTGTAACAAATACGCAGAATGCAAAATTAAAATTTAAAAAATCATTTCTACTTTATAAATAAGTAGATATTTGAATTCTAACACTAAAATATTTATCTGTATTGAAAAATGCAAGTGGTATTGAAAACCATTTAGACGCTGGGCATGGTGGTGCATGCCTTGAATATCAGCATCTCCAGAAACAGAAGCAGGTGGATCTCTGTGAATTTGAGGCCAGCCTGGTCTGCATAGTGAGTTCCAAGCCAGCCAGGGCTACACAGTGACAGTCTGCCTCAAGAAACCAACCAACCAACCATTTAGATGTACCATCAGTCTATTACTGTCCCAGAGAGAACCCCATTAAACAGACACTGTCACAACAGAATATCATTGGTCAGCAAGTGATCCAATTTTGAAAAACTAGGTGTGGAATGTGGGGTACTCAAATTGATGGACCCACAAAGCTCCAGAAGTGTGACCAGACACGCCAAACAAACTCTCCCTGACTTTCAGGCTGTGTGAGTTCTGCCAGGGGGTCATGTCTAATAGCCCTCACTAAAGGTTTGAAGCAGGAGGATGTGTAAAAAAAAAAAATTGCATGATACTTGGACTATTCTATAGCAAGGATATCGACATAGGCATATCTGTTCTCATCAGTAATTTTCCCAGACACTGGTCCGTTCTTAAGAGTGCAGGTAAATGTCTGATTAATCCAAATGCAAGTCTGTGTGGAAAACAGCAAAAGGAGAGGGTGGTGGAGCCAGGAGTCCAGACACCCCAAAGGGGACAGGGATGGCGTGGGGGACAGGCTGGAGAAGCCTGGGTGTAGAGCTTCACAGGGAGGACAAAAGCCTGGTTGCAGCTCATGGTTTTCTCCCTCCAGCAAGCCATCTGCCTACCAAACTCAGCTTTTAAAGCTGATAAATTAGAAGGTGTCAATTTGCTCTCGAAAATTTCCGACAGGGTTCTGTTAAATGTGTACTTAAATCGTGATTCCAGTTACAGAAGTCTGATTTTCCCTCAGAGCTTGTCAAGACCAATTCAGTCAGTGGAGGGATTTGACTTTTTTCTTTTTCTGGTAATATTTTTAACTGGTAGTAATTTGGCTTTTTGGGGGAGCACGCCCTGTAAAGGGAAGCTGGGTATCTCAGGAGCAGAGCCAGTCAGAGTGGACTGTTTAAAGGTGGGTCAGGCTTTTCTCGTCAACAGTAGACGTTCCTGGAGTCCACAGCCTCACGTCCCTGCTTCTGGCTTTCAGCCATCTAGGGCAAAGTCTAACCTCGACCCACACCAGAGTTCCTGGCACCCGAGGACAGACAGTCCTATTCATGCCCCATCCTCACTAGTGAGCTTCTCTTGCGTGACTGTGTAGCTCAGTGGAAACTACCTGGTCTTAGAGTTGGTCAGAGTCCAGAAGATTCCTGGTGTACACTGCTGGAACACCTTTCCAAGCCTTACAGGGGTCAGAGAACACCCTACTGAAGCCAGGACATGCCCCTCCCTGGAGAGGAACTGAGTCAGCACAGCTGACCATGAATGCTAATGAGACCCCTCAACTATTCAGATGAACAGAAGTTCCCCAGTGTGACTTGCTGAATTATGACACTTCTCTTTAAAAAGTCTCCCTAAAGGTACAAGAACCTTAGGTTCACACAGAACTTTAGTTCAGCCCAAAGCCCTCACAATCTAGTTATATGAAAGTTACGGCAGTCTCCCTTCCTCCCTTCATGACTATTTTTTCTGATTTTCACATCTAGCCACGATAAACTCCATCTGCCGAGTTTTGACTGATCAGTCCACTGCCTTTTCAGAAGCAGAATTCTTTTACCCAACTTGGGAGTTCTTACCCTTAGCTTGCCTGACCTACAAAGGCTGCCACAAGACTGTAGGTGAGCTTGCACACTACTGAGATGTCCGCTTCACTGCACTTTGCAGCAGGTTTACAGGCCAGCACAGACGCCTGGCTAGGTTTGCTCTCTCCTTCACTCTGCATCCTGTGCTGCAGAGGCTGCTGGAGAAATGTCCTCAGGTCACTGCAAGGACAGCAGGGACTCCAGGTGACTTACAGGCTGGTCCAAAGTAAATGGAAGGGGGCTGGAGAGGTGGCTCTGTGATTAAGAGCATTTGCTGCTCTTGCAAAGGACCTGAGCTGGTTCCCAGCATCCACATGGTGGCTCACTACTGGTAACTCCAGTTCCAGAGGATCTGACATCCTCTTCTGGCCTCTGCAGGCTTCTGCATGCATGTGGTACACAGAGACACACACACATACACACAGACAGATACAGACACCCCCCCACACACCCCCACGGATACACACACACACACACACACACACACACACACACACACACACAAAAATTGAAGTAGGATGGAAGGACAGAAGGTTCCCCATCCAGCAAAGAGAGAAAACAAATATTCCTTAAATGTTCATTCCCTAGGGCTTTGTCACGGAAAACTTACCAAATGAGAGCTCTAGGCCTCCAGTGCCAGAGGCCCCTGGGCTTGGATAAATGCACTGTAATGTGTTAACAGGCAAAGGTTTGGAGCTCACTTCCCCAGCTTAAATCCTGAAACCAGACTCGCTTACTGCCTGGCTGACTACTGGAGCTATGACTTTCTTATCTGGCCTCAAGGCTGACTCTGAGCACCAGTGGGATGGAAGGAAGGGGGACGGGAGAAGCTAGAGCAAGAGGTGCGGGCAGGGCCTGCTCTTGCCTTTAAAATGGCTTATTAACTCAGAGATGCTTGTTCCCCTCTGAGAGAAGCTCAGTCGGAGATAGACAAGAGCTTTCCTGGTAACTAATGCACACAGCCAGAGAGCTCAGGGTCTTTTCCTCTGCCAGAACAGAAAACAAACACCAATGGACACAAGTTTAAAAGTCCAGTGACTGACAGGCGGTGGACAGGGACAGAGCCTGCTGAAGTGCACCACTTAATCTTAAGTGACTGAAAGTCCTATATTCTGATCACACTGTACGCTCGACTTTTGTGAAGCAGGAAAGAAATAACATTTCATTATCAGTTTTATTAATGGGCTACTACTAAAAATCTGTACATAGATGTACATGTACACACAGACACATTCTGGCATTAGGAAGTGAACCCAGGGCCTTACCACCAAGCTATGCTCCCAGCCCCCTGTATATTCATAACTGGCTGTTCTTGGTAGGACTGCAGTCTCTAGGGGCCCTGTCTTCTGTGAGCAGCTGAACTGTGGAGGTGCCAAAGCTCCGTGCTCAGAGCTGATGTGTGAGTCGGCCTGTGAGGCCCCCTCCGGCTCCCCAGCCTGGCCCTGGTCCAATTGGTGGTTTCTGTCATATTACAATGTATGCCAGGGAAAGGTGTGAATGAGGAAAATCAAGGGATATGAGTAGGAAATTCGGGTAAAGAACAGTCTATAATTTCTCATATCTTTTTCCTTTTACACACCGTGGGTTCTAGGAAGTTGCCTATGTGAACAGATCTATGTATATACCCATATATATACTTAGTATACACATATTATAGTACATATTGCTGAAAATGCATGAATACATTATACTGACCTTAGGGGGTTTAAACGGATAGTCTGGTGAAAAGGTAATGTCAAGAAAGAACACCCCTCCTTCATAGACAGATCCTGGGGGTCCCAATATCGTTGACCTCCATTCATAAATGTTGTCTCCTTTGGGTCCAGCACTGAAATAAGACACACAAATGGAATGTGCTTAGAAATTACATAAAGTCTGTAATCAGATAAATATATTCATGGTAACAATAAACTGGGCAATTCCAGAAGACACAGCAAAGTTAATAGGTTAACTCTATCCTGCGGCTCATATGCCAACATCATCATTCTGGAAACGGAACACGCTGGCATTAGCTAATACAACACAGCCAAAGGTTCTCCTTTGCCTCCCACAACGCAAGGACACAGGCCAATGACAGAAGCACAAGCTCTAAGTATGAAACTATCTATGACATCTTGAAAAGGGTGACTCAGTCCTGGGCTCAAAGACACAAACTTTCAAAGTAAGACAGGCTAGTGCAGAAGAGCCTGATCCCTCCACCAAGAATGGAGCACAGGGACGAGGTTCCCGGGGCACAGTAAACAGCCACCATTGGGAGACCCAGGCCAGGACCATTCCTAGTCAGGACCTCCTCCTTCTCCCCACCCCATCCCACTGATGGTAAGATGTGCCATTTTGATTCATTCTCTGTCCCACCCTAGAATAGAAATTTCTTGATGAGCAAATGGATTCTGCCTTGTTCTTAGTGTCCATTGAGCACACATTCCCTGGGTAATGACAGACAGGTGAGTAGGTCACTCATCTACAAGCTTGCATCTCAGATGTGAAGTCACCAAGGGGAATGGGCCACATGTGAAGACAGGGTGGTACTAGTTCTCCCCAGTCAGCAGGGAGGCAACAGAGGTTAGAGTTTAGCTTTCTGGGGTCTGCAGCTCCATGGTTTATCTAGCGTGCGCAACGCCCAGGTTTGATCTGCACAGCACTGCTGTTTCTGCTGCCCAGAGCAAAATATTTCCCAGCATTCTTTCTGCTTCGAGTTACCAGAGTGAACAGCTAGAACATCCTGGAGTGAAGTGGGCAGCACCATTAATGTACCTGGGAAAGATTTTGCTGCAAACTTAGCTTCTTTTGGCTTTTATTTGGACATCCGTTTACATGTGCAAAAGTCATTGCTGATCAGCACATCACAAAACACGTATGAAAATGAAATGAGAATATTCCAGGATGCAGATAGTCTAGTAATAAAAAAGTAATCCATCTCACAAGAGATTAAAGTAGAAAATAATCATCTCACAGGCACAGAAGACTTCCTTTCCTTACCCCACTTCCTCCTCCCCCCCCTCCTGTCCCCACCTCCCACCTCTCTTCTCCCTGACTCCCTGCCCTCCTCTTCCATCCTTTCCACGCAGAAATAAAAACTTCAGAGGTTGAGTCACAGTTCAGGTTATAAACTGAGCATTGATGGTTGGATCATTTAAAACCAAGAAAATCCGAAGGGTAGAACATAAAAATTCTTATTAAGTAACAGGAAAATAGTAACTACCCATTAAAACAAACACCAATAGACATTTCTAAAAAGTGGAAACACAAATGAAGATACATAATCTCATCAAAACTGGGAAAATGGGATCTGAAGTAACTAGTCAACAGGCAAAAATAAACAGCTAACAAAACTAAGTACTGACGAGGACTGGGGAAAACCAGATTCCTACATACTGCTAAGGCAGTCAGTCACTCTGGAAAAGAACACAGCTCATCTTCATTGAAAAAAGAAAAGGAATGAAGTTCTGTCCTTTTGGCTTCACGGGTGAACGGGAGGTCACGACGCCCAGCAAAGCCAGCTAGGCACAGGAAAACCCACATCACATGCCCTCACAGGAGTCGGCTGGAACACTGGCCTCGTAGAGGTAGAGAGTGAACAGTGTGATCCAGGGCCTGGGAAGGGAGTCAGGGGAGAGTGTGGAGAGACGGTGGTGAGTGGGTGTGAGACCAGGCAACAAGTCAGAGGTGAGGGTGTCTCCTTGGGGCTAAGCATCTGTGAAGCTGCAGTTAGGACTTTCCAGCAGCACCGGATGCCAAGGCAGCAGGGCTCTCTCCTGGTTTCACACTGCTAAGAAAGGGTCTATGGCTCCACTATTCTACCATCTACATTGTGTTCCTCTCTCCCTCTGGAGTCTTTTCAAAATAATAACGGACAGAAATAACCTGAAAGGAGGAACCCATCCCCTACAATGTGGGAAAAGGGTCACCTTCCCCAACAAACATGCTACCCACCTCATAAACACTGACAACCTCCTTAACCACCCACAACATGAAGGGTGCCTCCCTTCAGCCCAGTCTCCCTGCTCTCTCCCTGTAGTGCACTCTGCTCTGCTTTGTCAAACAAACTTCTGCTTAACCTCTGTGTCTCTTGGCTGAAGTCTTTCCTTAGAAAAGGCAAGCATGTGGAAGAGAGAGTCCCTAGTTCAGGGCTGCAACCGAATAGAAGGGATCAGTTCCAATGTCCTGTAGCACAGTAGGTCAATGTCCTGCAGCATAGTAGGTCAACTAGCTACAGTTGACAACAACTAAATATTTCAAAATGGCTAGCACACGATTTCTTAACATTCCGAACATAAAGATATGGCAAATGTGTGAGGTGAGGGGCATGCCAGCTCCCCATTCTGAAGTCAACGCTGTGCCCCTGTATATGTATATATAATGGCAGTTTCCATTAAAAATGAAAGTTTATTAAGAAAGAATGTGGACTTAGGTAAGTTGAATATATTGTTATACAACAGAGCATTTGCACTCACATACCCCAAAACAGTTAAGTATGCACATCAGAAGACACACACACAGGACCACTTGTAACAGCAACATGGGAAGCAACATAAAGGGCCGTTGACCTGAGATGGATGAATTTACCCAAAGGAAAACCATCTCGTAGTGAAAACCTACACACCAATAGGAACAGATCCTAAAAGTGCTCAGTGTGTGTGGTTTCTACCAAGTTTAGAAACAAGCACGCAGGGGGCAGCATAAAAAATGGCAAGAAGTTAAGAAAATGCACTGCTGAGAGGCACAAAAACACAGGGTGAAAGACTTTAGAAGAGATGTTTCTGGGCCTCCTGTGCTTCTTACTGTGTGTGGATTGCAGAACGATCTGTTTTATAATCTAATCATGTAGTGTCAGATGTTTCTAGTGTATGAGTCAATTAAGAAATTATTTTTACGTGTGAGCGTACTGCCTGCATGTTAAGTGTGCCTGTGTCATGCAACGCCTGCAGAGGTCAGAAGAGGGTGCTGGATTCCCTGGAACTGGAGTTACAGACAGTTGCTAGCTGCCATGTGGATGCTGGGGATCAAACCCAGGTGCTCTTAACCACTGAGCCATTTCCCCAGCCCTGAGCCGCCCCCCCACACCATTTTTATATAAAGCAAACGTATGTGGGCTGGTGAGATGGCCCACCTGGTAAATCCATCTGCTGCCAAGCCCGATGACCTGAGATTGGTCCCTGGGACCTACATGGTGGAAGGAGAGGACCAACTCCTACAAGTTGCCCTCTGATCTCCATTTGTACACAGAGGCATCAACATACACATACCCTTGTACTCAAAATAATTTAAAATCCAATAAAAAGTAGTGAAAGGAACTGGACATGGTGGCGTAGGCCTTTAGTCTCAGCACTCGGGAGGCAGAGGCATGTGGATCTCCGTGAGAAGGCCAGCCTGGTCTACATAGTGAGTTCCAGGACAGCTGGGGTTACAGGGAGACCCTGTTTCAAAAACAAAACAAAAAACCAAAAAGAAAAAGGAAAAAAGATGAAAGTTAATTCTATGTGAGAAAGGCAAGTTGTGGCGTAATACAGTGTGATCCCACCGTGCACTAAACCCTGAGGTCTGAGGGCATAGCTCAGTGGTAGAACACTTGACTATAAGGTATGAGGGCTCTGGGTTCAATTTCCAGTCCCAAAAACTAGTGAATAAATACAAAGTAAAAAGAAAAGGTATGGACTGGAAAAGACAGCCCTCAACTCATGAAAGGACTGGAGGAACAAGGGTTAAAATGCACTGGAGCGCTGCAGTCACACGGGTCTAGTGATGAGGAGGAAGCCACATTCCATTTTATTTCAGGTGTTTGATTCCTCCTTTTATTAAAAGATGAAGTGGATAAAATCACAGCTAACATATTGTAAAGGGCACGGAAGTACATTGCACACAGTGGATCAAGGCACAAGAACAGCATCTCTGTCCCAACTTCGCATCCCTGGAGCTGGCTCTAAGGCTCAGACGGACATCCCCCAGATGACAGGGCTGTGTATAACAACAGCCTCTTGCTGCCAGATGAGCTCAATTTCCAGAGGAATAACACACTTATACCTTTAGCTATAATTAGACCCACTGTGAATAGAGAAGTTTATCAGGAGGAAAAGCTAAAAGGAGAGTAAATTATAGGGTTAGAGTTACAACATTATCTCAAAGGTAGATGAAGAAATTCAGTTAAAAACACAGGCGCACACACAGCTCTGAAACGATGTGTACAAATACATTTCTCCAATATTAAGACAGAATTTCCTGGAGTCACTGAGAAATTTTAAGAGGATCTTCCAAGAATGCGAACCATCGGTAGTTAGAGACTGTGGTAAGAAGTCACCAAGCGGTGCTACCACAAAATCAGTGGACAGAGCTTAGCAAAGAGGGCAACGTTGAGACCATTAACCCCAGTTGGTGCCAAATTGTCCCCGGCTCTCAATCAGAAATCCAGATTTCACTGGGTCTTCAAAGTCAGCCTCCTATACTGCTGAGAGTCCATTGAAACACCAGTTGATAGTATTACTTTGGGCTGCTTCACCTGGCTGACTTGAGTCTCTAAGAAATACGCAGCCTACTTGTAGTAACGACTATCTTAAAAACAGACCTGTGCCTTCCAAGCACGCAAGCCTCATGTCACCTGGAACACACTGACATCTTAGCACTGCCCACTTTTACTATCTTAGGAACCGTACGCCTGCACTGCTCATAACCCTCCAGCTTGGTACCCAAGCTGCACAGCCCTCTGTCTCATTTCTATATGGTGTGTCCCAGGTGAGATGTCATTGGAGTAAAATATCTAAAGCTTTGCTACATAATCCAGCAGTCACGAGTACCTGACATGTGAAAGGGTCAACCAAGATGTGCAGTAAATGA